CTAATATGTTAATATTAACCGTTTTACCATTTTTACAATGCTAAACCCAAATGCTCTCTCTTTCTGGTCAGCTTAGCAGCTGCCACACTGCTAAAAAATGTCCATCTAACCATTTTAAAATCTTATATCCAGCCAAAAAGTCTTTTTGATCTCGTTTTGAGACTGATTTACTAAACAAGAATTGATTGTGTAAGAATAATCATCTTGTTCTCAGAATGTGTAAGATTATTTAGCCTGAAAATTTGACTCAAATTAAGTCAAAATATAATAATCCAAATTATAACATTCGTGTTGTTGATGATTCAGGAAATCAATACCCGCCCCCATTATATGGCAACATTTTAACAATTTACCTGTTACAGGTCCATTTTTCTTGGCCACTTCCAGCTTCAACACCATCATGTATCGGGAACAATCCTCCAATAATGATGTCACCTGGAGCCTTGGCTTCATTTAGGCATTCAGTGCAGAGGACTTGGTGTGATAAAACAACAAAAGAAAAGCTGAAACTGAAGAAATGTTTCATCCTCCTCTGAGTTTTCCTTTGAAATAAGCAGATTCTGCCCTGTGATGGATATGCGACCTGTCCAGGGTGTGCCGCACGGCTGTCCGCCCCTCGCACACTGCCTGTAATGGATTTATAAGCAGRTTTTTAAATGTGTATGTGTCTTAAATTAAAGAGACAAAGCCAATAAACGTTYTAACTTTAAGAGATAGGACATAACATAAAAGGTAATCATCTGCGCTCAACACGGTTTGCAGAAAAAAAAACGTGTGATTTATTTACATATTTCAGAAACACAAGAAAAGAGTCTTTAAAAACTTGGCTGCTCACCCACACAAACCCCTCACGAAATTATTTTACAAACGAACTGATACGTGGCACAACAGGTCAGGTGGGGCTGCTTGGGGACGCGCAGATTGAATAGAAGCTGACGTCAGCACCTCCCAGCTCACCTTTATGTAGGACATGTATGGCAGGCCATTTTAACACAAAATCGGCTGCACCGCACAGATATCTGAAATGGGTTTATGACTGGACATTTTTGCTTAAATTATCTCTGATGAGATTTTGAATTGGCAAAATTCCTATTTGAGATATCGCGTTACGATGATTTGCTCCAATTTAAGATGAAAGGAATTTCACAATAAAAAATAGTTCTATATAAGCCTTATTAAAGATATCTTAGATTGCATCATTATTCATGATATATGTTTATTTTTACATCACATATAAATATTCAACTATGATGCAAATTAAACTGCAGGTATCTTGAAAGCAAACAATGATATAGGTAAAACCTACATGTGCATTTGTTTTAATCAAGAGTGTTTCCGGGTGATGTTCTCTGGTGAAAAAAATGGATTGAGTTCTGGTTTCTGAAAGCTTTATCCATAACCATTAATGACTTCAGGTTATTTATCCTCTGCACTACTACTTTTATTAAAATATGTCAGCATGTCTACTATTTCAACCAACTTCCAGTTGTCAAATTTGCTTTTAGCTTTCTGAGTAGAGGTTTCTAATTAAATAAAGTGCAGTTTTGGTTTTACCTTGAAAAGACAGGGCTTTTCCCAGGCAGACTGATTGTCCTTCTGGTGTCCTCCCTCTGGTGACCTCTGCTGGACTCAAATGGGATATTTTACAGCTGCTTTAGCTCTGACCAAAGCACTGTCCACACATGACACTGCTGCTGGACTTCTCATTTTTAAGTCTATGTTTCTGTCTGTCTAGCTCACATATAATTAAGAGTTAAAGGTTTTAAGCCTGCTTTAAGTTGGCAGCACGGTGGAGCAGTGGTTGTCACCCCTCAGTTATCCGTTTGCAGGTTTGCCTCCTGTCCTGGAGTCTTTCTGTATGRAGTTACTCGGGGAACTCTGGTTTCAAAGACCAAAAACATGCATAATAGGTTCAGTGGAGTGGTTGTCATGTTGTTTATAGCCCTGATGGACTTGTGACCTCTACGGTACCCCATCTCTCACACAGTGATGGACACCAGCTTTCCCACAACCTGGAAATGAAAATAAATAAAAAATAAATAAATAAAAAATTGTGAAGAAAAAGGATGGATGTCTTATTTATTTTTTATTATTATAACCTTATCAAAAGTTTGTTTTGGCCATGTTTTCATTGTTTTACACATGCATGCCATTTCAGTTCTTATCTGCCCTTGAGGCATTGATGGTCCTCTCCAATTACCAGGAATATTTTCTGAAACTAATGACGATTAGTTCTGATTTAAAATAACGAAGCATCAATTTAAGATTGCAATTCCTAATTTTTATTTTCAACAGTCAGAGCTAAAAAAAAAAAAAAGTAGACATACCGCCCGAAAAATGGTACATTTAATTATTTGTTCATTTATTTTAAATTTCTGCATCTCTCAGCTTGCTTTATGTCTAACATCGTTAGAAATATATAGCCTAAATGTTAAAACTCTTTAAATTTTTGTTTTTATGACACAGCCTGCTCCCCAGTGGTGGGATGTAACTAAGTACAAGTACTTTCTTGCTGTACTTAAGTACAATTTTCATGTATCTGTACTTTACTTAAGTAGATTTCATCATGGGTACATTTTTCATGTATCTGTACTTTACTTAAGTAGATTTCATCATGGATACTTTTGACTTTTACTCCACTGTACTTTCTACTCCACTACATTTTACATTAAGCATCTGTACTTTCTACTCCACTACATTTTACATTAAGTATCTGTACTTTCTACTCCACTACATTTCTGTAATGCATTGAATTACAA